CATTTAAATCATCCTGTAATCTATTAGTGTCATTCTTCTTCCCTATTCGAAGATTCTAAAAGATAAATAATTAGAAAAAAATTCAATTTTACAATTAAGATCTCTAATGATGATACTAATAAATAAAAAACTGTTAGAAAAACTAGGTAAATGAAGAATTGAAGACAATTTAATAGTTAAAGTATAATTAATTGAACATGTTTCAGATACAGGAGTATATGACTCATCTGCTATACAGACGTTTTCCCTTCTAGTATGAAAAAAATATGTTAAGAAGTCTTTAAAAAAATATATCATGTGTCTGTTAGCTCCAGAGTTTATAATTTAAGTATCAAAATTGGAAATAGAAATGAGATAAGTAATACTTGAGTTTACCATATTTGATGCACCAATAGTTGATGAAGAATTAAGTTGAGATAGAACATGCTTCAGACTTTGAATCTCCTCGTTTGAAAAAACTCAAACTGTTGGTGTGTTAGGTATTTTACCTGCCTCAGCTAAATTTGTTTGAGCTCTTGTAGGCCCATATTTCCTTCCCTCAAGACCTCGAGTTGGTCGTCCATACAATTTCCAACAAGTTTCCTTTGTGTGTCTCGCTTTACCACAATAGTCAAAATTTCGTTGGTCTTTGGATTAATTAGATTGAACAACTAATCCAGCATTCTCAATTGATACTATGTGAAGTAAGACATTTCTTCTACTTTTTTCTTATTTGACATAAGTATAAGTTTATTGTAATGAGGGAAGATGATCCTTATCAAGTACCTAGACTCGTATATAAGCTTATTCAATGTCCAGACCAACCAAGAAATCATAAGTCTGCCTATTTTCTATCAGTTTTTGAAATTTGATTGCATTTCCAGTGCAATAATCGAGTTTCTGTCATAATTCACTTAATTTAGAAAAATATTGAGAAATAATCATCTCTCCTTACTTTGTGTCATAAATCTTATTTCAGAGTTCAAAGATTTGTGTATCATTACCCACTTGTGAGTATGTAAGAAATGTTGCATTCTGTATTTTTACTATAGTATTGAGCAACAGATATATTCAAGTAATATGGGATTACATGAAATTGATGAGTTAAGACATTATCCAGGAGTTCTCACAATCTCATCTGTTATATTCCAAACTACCAACATTTGATTTTCTTCATATCACCAGTAAAGTAATCCTGCAATCCACTAATTAAGATAAACAACAAACAAGATCTTTAACTAAGTAAGACAATTAGTTTCATCAAGTTTTACGGGACTGATTTGTAATGAGGAATTATTTGAACTGGGAACAACCAACTTCTTTTGCTTTCTGTCTTTTAAAGTAACTAGAATAGGAAAAGAACAGATTTTTTAACCAACACCAACAGGATTGAAAACACCAGATTTATGCCCCTAAAAAAGGAAATATAGTACGAGCCCGAAAACGATGACCAAAAACAGCTCGGTCCAGTGAGGAAGTGATGACAAACATGGTGTCAAAAAGTGGCTCGGCTCAGTGCGCGGACGGACTAGATCGAAACAGCTTGACGGAATGCACGGCAACCAAGTGAAGGCAAGATCCGGAGAGGCGCGATTTGAGTCGGATTGCGTGCGACAAGGCTAAATCCGTCCTGATTGGGATTTTCTGGCAGCAACACAACGTGACTTGGGCTGGATAAGGTTTTTCTGACAGTGTGTGTGGTTCACGCGCTTCTATTGGTGGCAGTGTGTGTGGTTCACGCGCTAATGCTGTTGGCGGTGTGTGTGGTTCACGCGCTATGGAAACAGTCACCAGAGTCGGGGGACAGGTCCGCAGTGTGGCTACGCATCTATCTGGGGTGGTGGTGAGAGTAGATCTTGATAGTTGGTTACCAACTCAGTCTATTGTATTATTTTAGAATTTAGAAAAAAATCTTTAAATTAGAATCTTAAAACAATCTTATTTTAGTTTTGATACCATGAAAATTTTTAGAGAAAAAATATTAATTTTATGTTGAGTAGCATATTTTATTATTTAATTATTTTAATTTATTATTTAATTAATTAGTACTATATAATTAGAATTCTAATAGAATAGTAATCCCATGTAATTAACATTCTAATAGAATAATTATTTCCTAATTAGTATATTATAAATTCTATAAATACTCTAAATCTAACATTTAAATGGTGAAAAATAAATTTATTATTTTTTTCCAAAAATCTTTATGGTATCAGAGTCAAATAAAGTTATTTTAAGGTTTTAATTTCAGGGTTTCTTTCAAACCCTAAACTAGCACAATAATTTGAGTTGGGTACCCATTTATTCAAATCTACTCTCATCATCACCCAAAATGGTGTCATAGACTGATCGGCCACCTTCACCCGACTCCACCGGCCGCCAGTAGCTGCAGCGGAGGGAGAGAAGTCAGATCTGTTAGTGTGCCGCTCGGAGAATACAACTAAACCCGCACCAAACTGTGACCCCAAAAGATCGTGCGGCAGGCAGAAGATCAAGCAGCGTCCAGCGGCATCTGGAACAAGATCCGCACGGCCGGAAACGGAGGAGACAAATCGCTTTCGGCTTTGTGCATGAAGAGACAACCAAAGAATAGGAATCGAAGACGGATTTGCAACGTCTGCCTTTATCTGTGCACAAAACCAGAGCCCAAGAGAGAGAACGCACGTCGGAGAAGACGAACTAGCGCGGCGACAGCCAGATTGAGTCAATCTGGGCACTTATGGGAGGTTTTGGCCTGATCTCACCAGATCCATGCTAGA